TTCAAGGCCATAATAATAAAAGCATGGCACTGGCATAAAAACAGACATACAGATCAAGGAAGAAGAAGAGAGAGCCCAGAAATAAATCCATGCATTTATGGTCAATTAATATTTGACAAAGAAGGCAAGAACATACAATGGGATAAAGACAGTTTATTCAATAATGGTGCTGGAAAAATTGGACAGATACATGCAAAAAAAAAAAAAAAAAGAAAGAAACTAGACCACCTCCTTGTACTCTACACAAGAATAAACTCAAAATGGATTAAAGATTTAAATGTAAAGCTTGAAATCATAAATATTCTAGAAGAAACCATAGGCAATAAAATCTTGAACATTTCTTGCAGCACTATTTTTTTCTGATGTATCTCCTCAGAAACAAACAAACAAAATATAGACAAATTGGACCACAACTAACAAAAGATTTTTTTTCACAGCAGATGAAACCATCAACAAAATGAAATGTCAACCCATTGAATGGGAGACCATATTCACTAATGGTACATCTGATAAGAGGTTAATATCCAAAATTTATAAAGAACTATATACTCTCTTTTAGAATGGGGAATTAATTAAACTGCTTTTAGACAGCATTATCAGTTTCCTTTGCATCCCCCAAAATGAACAGTAGTGTAGCATTGCTTAGATGTAACCACTGTAGTGTTACTTAAAAATACTCACTCTTGCTAGTGATGAATATATTTCCTAGAAACCAACCATAATATTTATGAAACATGGGCTCAAGAAAAACAAGTGAAGTTTTCAACCATTTCAATCGTCATGGATTCAATAAACAAACATGAAACAAAGCATGTATTCTCAGTAACTAATGCAGAAAACTTATTCATTCCTACTACAAAACAGCTGTAGTTCAGGTTTATTAGACTGAATTTAATTAGTTTGCCTTATGGTCCACATATTAGAAATTAAATGAGTTACCTTCTATGAATATATTTTTCACATAATTCTGATATTTGAAATATATCACAAAAGTTTGTTGAATATATGACTTCTCCCTGTAATAAATGTCTGACTAGATTGCTTTCAAATTAATTGAAATTGGAAAGAAAATTACTCAGGAAGATTTTAATAAAATAAGACACAAGCAAGCTTCTCAAAGAGATCTGTTTGGTGTTTGCTTATTGTGAATAAAAAGAGGGGTAATGAAATTCTCTGAGTCTGTTTTTGTTTGGTTATTTCCTATTCAGGAGCTTCTAAAATATATAAAATATAAGAAAAAACATTCATTGAAAACAAACTATATTTACATTTAAAATATATTTATTACTCATCTATTACCATAAAGCCACTGTAGAGGGCATTGCTGTTGATTCACCAACATCCATTCCTTCCCAGATTATTTTTCTGAGTTAATCATAGTGATTTATTTGTTTTGTTTTTCCTTGCCAATAATTTGTTCTCAAATGAATGTGTAAACCAAATTTTATGGATTAAAGGTGAAGAAAAGTCCACTAAGGGAGCTGGGGAAAGTTTTCTCTCTCTTAAATTACAGCAACAAGAAGGAATGGTTTATCCTTTTCTCTGGAAGAATAGGTGTCAAGCACTTTTGTATCCATCTTGCTCCCTACCTGAATATAAAGCCAATATCAAGGAAAACAGGGCACATCAAGGGACTTGGAGACATAGCTGACAGCTCATACTGACTCTGGAGCACCTCCCGTACAATGGGCTTTCATTTACATAATAGAATACCAGATTCATTTGGTTACTTATTCATTGTCTCCAGCCTCCCTAGAACATAAGCTCTATGAAACAGGGACACTGTTTTGTTCAAAGCTATGTCTCAATAGCCTAGATCAGTAGCTGGTACATAATAGGTACTCAATATTTCTCAAATGAATAAGTGAATAACAAACTTGGTTACTTTAATTTTTTATTTATTTATTTATTTATTTTTATTATTTTTTTTAAATTAAATCTTTATTGTTCAGATTATTACATTTGTTCCTCTTTTTCCCCCCCATAACTCCCCTCCTCCCAGTTCCCGCCCCACCCTCCGCCCTCACTCCCCACGCACTGTCCTCATCCATAGGTGCACGTTTTTGTCCAGTCTCTTCCTGCATCTCCCACACCCCTTTCCCCCCCAAGAATAGTGAGTCCATTCCCTTTCTATGTCCCTGATTCTATTATAATCACCAGTTCATTCTGTTCATCAGATTATTTATTCACTTGATTCTTAGATTCACTTGTTGATAGATGCATATTTGTTGTTCATAATTTGCATCTTTACCTTTTTCTTCTTCTTCCTCTTCTTAAAGGATACCTTTCAGCATTTCATATAATGCTGGTTTGGTGGTGATGAACTCCTTTAGCTTTTCCTTATCTGTGAAGCTCTTTATCTGACCTTCAATTCTGAATGATAGCTTTGCTGGATAAAGTAATCTTGGTTGTAGGTTCTTAGTATTCATCACTTTGAATATTTCTTGCCACTCCCTTCTGGCCTGCAAAGTTTCTGTTGAGAAATCAGCTGACAGTCCTATGGGTATTCCCTTGTAGGTAACTGAGTTTCTTTCTCTTGCTGCTTTTAAGATTCTCTCTTTGTCTTTTGCTCTTGGCATTTTAATTATGATGTGTCTTGGTGTGGTCCTCTTTGGATTCCTTTTGTTTGGGGTTCTCCGCGCTTCTTGGACCTGTAAGTTCATTTCTTTCACCAGGTGGGGGAGGTTTTCAGTCATTATTTCTTCAAATAGGTTTTCAATTTCTTGCTCTCTCTCATCTTCTGGCACCCCTATAATTCTGATGTTGGTGCGCTTGAAGCTGTCCCAGAGGCTCCTTACACTATCCTAGCATTTTTGGATTCTTTTTTCATTCCGCCCCTCCGGTTGGTGTTTTTTGCTTCCTCGCATTTCAAATCATTGACTTGATTCTTGAGCTCCTCTGGTCTGCTGTCTGGAGTCTGTATAATATTCTTTATTTCAGTCCATGTATGCTTAATTTCTAGTTGGTTCCCCATCATAATATCGAGGGTCTCATTAGTTTTCTTGTAGATCTCATTAAGTTTATCGGCGGCTTCTAAACAGTTCTTGAGAGACCTTAAAAGTGTGGTTCTGAACTCTATATCTTCCATTGACAATTTTGTCCTGTTTCTTTGTCTGCGCATTTTGTTATGCTTTCTTGGTGCACCCCCTGGTGGTCTTTGTGCGCAGTCTTGTAGTTAAGCCTTGATTGTTGTAGCTAATACCAGGGAGGGTTTGACCTCCAGGCCAAGTGGCTGTGAGAATCAGCTGTGTCTGCAGTGAGAGAACTTCTGTCCTCTAGGGAGGTGCTAATCTAGCCTTTGCCTGAGGCTATCCGGCAAATGCCTCTGTGCAGGGCTTGGGCGGGGCGGGTCGCACAGGATCAACAGGGTGGGCCGGAGAGAGCAGTTATGGTGGCTCTCAGTCCTGTCCCCAGGGGCTCTGCCTCCCTGAGTCCCAGCAACCGCTGCAAACCTCAGAGAGAAAGCTGCACTCGCTCTGACCGAAGCCAGACAGTCCCGCTTCTCCCGTGAGTCTGGGTCCCTAAAGACTCGCCCGTATCTGGAGCTCAGAGTCTGCAACTCCCTCCCGATTAAAAACGCCAACTGCGCCCTCCGCCGCCAGCCTGCTCCTCGCACTCTGCACCTCAGAATTTGACTTCAGCACTGCGCCTCCTCTGAGTGTCCGTATGCATTTCTCTTTCCTCCTAGTTGTAGGACTTCCACTCAGCCAGCGTTCCTGTGGTTCTGGGTGATGTCCGTTCCGTCTTTTAGTTTCACTTTTGAAGTAGTTGTTCAAGGCAGCAAACTCCGGCGTTAACCTATGCCGCCATCTTGGTTCTCTCCTGGTTACTTTAATTTTTTGTTCTTTTTAAAAAATATGTTTTTATTGATTTTGAGAGAGAGAGGACAGGAGAGGGAGAAACATTGATTTGAGAGAGAAACACTGATTGGCTGCCTCCCATGCACACCCCAACTGGACCCCAACTGGGGATGAACCCAAAATCTGGGTATGTGCTATGACTCAAGATAGAACCGGTGACCTTTTGGTGATGGGATGATGCTCAACCAATGAAGCCACATCAGCCAGGGCGAACTTTGTTACTTTAGAGCAGTGATGGCAAATCTTTTGAGCTCGGGGTGTCAGCATTTTGAAAAACCCTAACTTAACTCTGGTGCCGTGTCACATATAGAAATTTTTTGATATTTTCAACCATAGTAAAACAAAGACTTATATTTTTGATATTTATTTTATATATTTAAATGCCATTTAACAAAGAAAAATCAACCAAAAAAATGAGTTTGCGTGTCACCTATGACACGCGTGTCATAAGTTCGCCATCACTGCTTTAGAGATAGTTTGAATCAGGGTTTTCTCTTACTTGTAGCTGAAAACACACTAATTGATAAAGTCCTGAAAAAAAAAATAACTATGTTAGTTTTGAAGTTTGACTTACACATAGAAAGAGAATATCTATATACCATGTATGGGTGAAGCTATTGAGAATCTATTTTAGATATATTATAGGAGTATGAGCAAATAAATATAGATATTGATGCTGTTATGAACCAGGTTCTCACTGTAGAAAAAGAAAGATAAAAATGTGGAAGAAGGAAGACAAGGAAAAAACCTGTGACAATGAATTAGAATTGGAGGTATTGAGGAGGAAACTGGTCTTGCAAGGAGTGTCAGGCCATAAAAACTGTGAACAATACACTGCCCTGGAGGGGGGGGGGAGGTTGTTATTGCTGGCCCCAGGACAGATCATTGGATATGGCCTGGGGACCTCAACACCTGGGGGCCTTCCTGTAAGCCCACAAAAGAAGGTGGAACCATATCTGCAAGTCAAAGGCCCTAGAAGGTTATAAAAAGTGAAGCCCTCTGTGTGTCTCTTCACTCTGATTTGGAAATTATTCCCGGAGTCCACTAGTGTTAATAAACGGGGTCCCTCCCTTTCTCTAGGAAGCATGCTTGGTATTACTTTGGTCTTCTGTAACAGTATCATTAAAACATATATATGTAAGCTTTGCGCAGTGGCAGTATCATAGCCAATGAGGTTTATCCGAGGCACGATTATTGCTAATTGAAAAAACACACACACATATATATGTAATTGCATGTTAATATGCATAGTTTTATTCATGTGTGTATGTATACATACACAAATGTGTTTACGTGGATATATTTGGTTGTGTGCATATAGCTTCTAGCTATTTCCACTCAAATGAATTATAACCAAAGATACACCAGTGACAATAGCATACCCAATGCCAAGAACTTGGTTTCTAGTACTATTTCTTGTTAAAAAGAACTAGAGCTTGCAGAGAAATGATATATTCCAGGGCTGGGACAGGGAAGGAATAAGAGGAGCTGGGCATACCTTGTTATGTAAGAAATGAAAACTGCCTAATAAAATAGAGGGGCATGCACAAGGACACGAGTCCAAAGTGTCTTCAACTGGATAAAACTGAGATACTTTGTGCACTAAACAACTAACGAATATAATTAATTATAAATTATTAAAGACATAGAAATTCACATGCCCATGTTGATATTAAATAGATATATAACCAAAGAAATAATTTGGAGAGAAATGTCAGTTGATAAATGTGGAGAAAGAGCTGAAGTTTTAAAACCATCATTTTCAAACCATCATAATTTAGATTGGTTCATGAAGAAGAATCAATGGATACAAAATCTGAATGGTGTGTTTTGATGGGGAGTGGACTATGTGTATGACCTTAAAATATCTCCCAACAATTGCCTATTCATGACAGGAAAAAATAGTAACTCTGAAATGAAGAAATTAGGTAATATCTGTCCCAATCTTCCCAGGTTTCTTCTATTTTCTTTCTGTTGAAAATGACATTTTTTGGCCATTCATTTAAGTAAGCCAGTTGGTGAAAAATGTTATTAGTTTCCTTCATCTGAAAAATGTCTTGATTGTCCCCTTTATTTCTAAAGGATATTTTCGCTGATATAGAATTCTGGGTTTAGATTTCTCTCCTCTCAGGACTTAAAAAATGTTGTCCTGCCTGTTTTGGGAGGGCCTTCATCATTTCTGATAAGAGTTCTGATGCCATTCTAATTATTTTTTCTCTCTAGGTAAGGTGTCAATTTTTGCTGACTGCTTTCAAAGTTTTTTTTAGTTTTAGTTTTCAGATATTTAATTAAGATTGTCTTAGCATGGAGTTCTTTGAATTTATCCTGTTTGGGGTTGCTCAGCTTCCCAAATCTTTATGTGTATGATTCCCCACCCAAATTTGGGAAGGTTTTGGGCAATTGTCCTCTTTAAAAAAACAAACAAAAAACAAAAACAAACAAACAAAAAACTCTACCTGTGAAATAAGCCAGTCAGAGAAAGACAAATTCCATATGATTTCACTTATAGGTGGAACTGAATGAACAAAATAAACAAACGAAATAGAAACAGTCTCATACATAAAGAGAACAGACTGACAGCTGTCAAAGGGGAGGGAGTTAGGAGGCTGGGTGAACAAGTGAAGGGATTAGTACACATTGATAGTTGCAGAATAGCCACAGAGATGCAGTTTGCAACGTTGGAAATATAGTCAATAATGTCGACATAACTGGGAATAGGGCCAGGTGGGTACTTGGGGGTAGCGGGAGGACCGTTCTGTAGAGTGCATGGTTTTCAGCCCTGCCCTCTTCCTCCTCTACTTCCACAATTCCAAGATATCTTATTTCTGTTATTCCTTTTTTTTTATAGTCCCATATGTCCCTGAGGCTTTGTTAAACTTTTTTTTTTTTAAGTTTAGTTTCTCTCCTTTTTCTTTCTTTCTTTCTTTCTTTCTTTCTTTTTTTTTAAACTGGGTAACTCCGTTTTGCCATTGAGCACATTAACTAAGTTATTAAATTATGGTTATTGTATTTTTCTTTTATATAATACCCATTTTGTTCTTTATACCTTAGTGCTTTCAAGATTCTCTTTGGATTTGGCTGTTAACAGTCTGACTTTGTTGTTTCTGATTATGCTATTAGAGTTTGTTGAGCTCCTTGGATGTGTAAATCAATATTTTTCATAAAATTTGAAACATTTTGGCCATTATTTAGTCAAGTGTCCTTTTTGCCCTTCCTTCTTCTAAGACTCCCATTATGCTTATGTTGGTACAATTGATGTTCTCCTATAGGTCTCTGAGAAATTCATTTTTTTTTTATATTTTAGTTTTTCAGATTGGAGAAATGAAATTGATCTATCATCAGATTCATAGATCCTTTTTTCTCTCAGTTCAAAGCTGATTTTGAATGCCTCTAGTGAGTTTCACTTCAGTTATTCAGAATTTCTATCTAGTTCTTTTTAGTTCTTTTAAATAATCTCTATATCTTTATGGGTATTCTTCATTTGGTAAGAAATCATTCTCTTATCTTCCTCTAATTCTTGAGAGGTGTCTCCCTTTAGTTCTTTGAACATACCTAAAATAAATGATTTCAAATGTTTGTTTAGCAATTCCAATGTCTGAGTTTCTTTATGAATAGTTTCTCCGGTGCTTTTTATCTCAGGTATGGGCCATATTTTGTGTGTCTTCTATTTTTCTGTTAAAAATTTGACATTTTAAATAAAATAAAGTGAAAACTTTAGTAATAAGATATTACCCCAGGATTTCCTCTGCATTTTACTGTTGTTGTTTGTTTAGTAACTTTCTTGGGCTAATCATATAAGGTCTTTATTCTTTCTCATGTGTAGACACTGAAGTCTCTGTCATGTGTGAACACTGAAGTCTCTGATCATTGAGATAAACAACTTTTATATTTCTCCCTTTTACAAAATAAATATTTGAATGGAGAGGGTACTCATAAAAGAGGACAGGATATGGACCCATGCCATATTACCCAGATTCATATAATCAGTGCTTGCACGTTGGGCCAAATTTACAGAAGGAAGATATGGACTCTTGCATGCCCAAGTCAACAGATGCCTGCTGGAGTCCTCAGTTTATCTGCTCCAAATCTTGAGAAATAAACTTTATTTTCTTTCTTTAACACTACAGTGGAAAAGCAATTAGTAAAACATAGTTATAGATAAAAGTAATTTTTGGTTACCCTCATTTTTTTATTTTTAAAATATATTCTGTATTGATTTCAGAGAGGAAAGGAGAGGGAGAGATAGAAACATCAATGATGGGAGAGAGTCATTGATTGGCTGTCTCCTCCAAGACCCACACTGGGGATGGAGCCTGAAATCCAGGTATATGCCCTGACCGAGAATTGAAACGTGACTTTCTGGGAAATAGGACGATGCTCAACCACTAAGCCACACCAGCCAGGCAACCCTCATTTTTAAAGATAAAAAAAAAATGATATTGAGAAGAATTAGGTAATTTTTCCCAGGTCATAAAATTCTTAGTGGCAAAGTTGAGTTTTAAAATCCAGGCTCTTTTTCATTCATTATGTTATATAGCATTCTAATCTGTCAATAGGTAAAACATGTTTTTACCTTTTTTTACTTAATTCAATTTACTTTCTGATGACTTTGTTTGCACACAATATGTGTTACTGAACTCAGACAAAAGAGTTTCCATTAAAAATTGTTCTATGGCTCTGTATTAAATATAATGAAACCAAGCTTCCAGATGTAATGGAGAAATGTATTTTGCAGATGGGTGGCCTGTGGTTTCTATGTGGAGTGCCAAATCACTTGGTATATGAGTATTAAGATAGGTATGGACGTAAACTCTATTGTCTTTGCTTTGTTACCATGGTATGCCATTCATCTAAATAAAATGTGAGCTTCTTAAAACTATTTTCTTCAATGTTTTTCTTTTAACATCAGGATGTATTTTTTTCCAAAATTTCTATAAAGAGTATTAAAAAATTAGCTTCATTGGTCCCAATATCCATAAACACTATAAAGACCCCTATGTTAATGCCTTCTTATCATATTCTTTAAAAAAAATGAATAGGTAATTGAAGGACCAAGGCATGTCTGAAATATGAATTTTAGTCACATCTTAATATTTGTTATAAATAAACAAATAAGTAAGTAAATAAATAACAAAATGGAATATTATATTCAGAAACAATTTTCTGATTTGGCAAAATTATTATTCACTAGAGCTTCCATTTATATTAGCGTTTTAGATGTAAGATTAGCCTTAGTTATCTAATTCAACATTAGTAATCAAGTCTAGATGCAGTATATTGATTCAGAATTTTGGAACATCACTTTTCATCACATCCATGTTGTAACAAAATCTGTCATGACGTGATGAGCCTGGCTTGGAGCCTTGCTATGAATATTACAGAAACAAAACAAAAAAAGATATGGATCAGGATGATCAAAAGGAAGTCCCAAAAGGAAAGGGTATATTTAATGACATCTACAGAAAAGGCAGCACCTAATAGACTCCGTTGTGGAAGTGTCAGGGTTTCTGCTTCCTAATGATGGAAGCAAGAGATCTGAAGATAAGAAACTTTATTTCTGAAAGAATGGCTCCCCCCGGTGCCATGACCTCCCCAAATCCCTAGGAGTCAAACTGTCTTTGAAATTGAGTGTGCATTCAGGGACAATAGAGTGATAATATCTCCCTGAGATAGAAGAGATCAAGGTTATATAGACATTTCCAAATGATCCAGAGTTCTTTATTATTAGCTGACTGCCATTCCTGGGCTGTGAAGCAGAAGAAAGATCTAAGTGATAATGTGTGGCTGTGAATTACCTCTGCTGTTAATGGTGTTCTGAACCAGCCTGTTCTTATTAACACAAAATCTAGAAGGCAGATAAAAAGGCAGGATTTACCAATGTGAGAGGCCAGCTAATTCCAGCTATTTTTCTACCTGTGAGTCACTCATTAATTTGTAGATTAAAAAATCACTCTAGCACATTCCCTTGATAATGTCTGATACAACTTTCAATGTTCTGTATAATGATCTGGTGGGGGCAGGGAGAATGAAAAGATGGGCAGGCAGGGAGGGAGAGAAGGTGAAAACAGAACCTGGCCCCAGTTAAAGGCATACTATCTCCATCAGATTTTTTTCTTTTTTATACAAATTATTCAACATTGAACTAGTAGAGATCAGGAGTCAAGGTCATGGGTCCTAGGCCATGGCAAAAAACTCTTCAGTTCTCACTGTCTTTGACAGAAAAATTAAAAGATTTTAACTGGGATGTATCTAAAGTTCTGTCTCAATTACAATAATGG